GATATAATGAGGAGTGCTGATATTTGAGGAAACACAATATTCCATCAACAGTCTGCTTCTTCATATTTTCTCATCATCCCATACAAACACAAGTCTTTTTTTTCCAGCTTTTTATTTTCCCAATGTTTTCTCCACACTTTTATTTATACACTAACACAATATATAATGAGAAATTGACAATTATAGTCGAGAAAAAAACTATAATCTAATATCTAACCAAAACATCTTTATATGGCAAAATTATAGCCATAAAATTTAAATATTTTGGTTAGATATTAAATTTTTTTTTTTTTGTTATTAACCAAATTGACCCATATATAATATATGTTTATACTTTTTATTTTTCTCACTAATTAATAAATTATAAAATTACTTCGTGTAAAGTATTGAATTTGAAAAACAAAACTATAGAAAAATCTTTTACATGATAGTAAATCTAGGTTGTTTCTTTTTTTGATTAACCTCAATATATAATGGATATAATACTATATGTACTAGTATAGTTTACACTATTTGGATTAAATTATGTTTCATTCTATCAAAAACAAAAAACATGTGAAAAATCAAGAAACTGAGATTCAATATTTTCGCAAGTTTCAATTGCGACTTGGTCTAATACTGAACAGCTAATTGGTTTCTACTTTTTTTTGCTCAACTTTTTTTTTGTTCAACTAATTGCTTTCTACTTATGACCTGTTTTCCAAACATTTGAAACGATAAAATTATAATTGACCTTTTAGCAAACACTTGAAACGGGAAAAATGGAAAAGAGAGTCGCAGTTAGGTTTCGTAAAGCAAATTTTTGACTAATTAACACTTTAATTAGAGGCTATTTAATTTGACTTGCTTTAATATATTACTATAAATCAAGTGGGCCTGATGGACTTATCTCAATAATTTTAGTTTTTTTGAGAAATCTCGATAAACGAGTTTGATGGGTGATTCCGTTTGAAACGAATGGTCGAAAATTTTGAGCAGTTAAATAGTGGATCGTTTGAAATAAGATGGTTAGAATTAGCGGTTAGAGAAGGCGGTTGGATAATAGTGAACAATTCAAATATAAGGTTGATTGGAAGCATTGTAGGGATTAAATAGTATACTTAGATAAAATTATGTAATAAAATTTTTTTAAATGATTTTAAAGTATAATGGATTGAAAAACAATTAAAAATTAATAATATAAATTACTAGTAAACATATATTACAATTATAGATTTTAAAAACATTAAAGAACTACCATATACGAATGAGTTCTAAACTTCTAAAAACGAAAACTAACCTACAATCTGGTATATTCATATAGTTTAGCCATTTTTTGTATTTTTTGGTTAATTTGGATACTGTAGATATATTGGATAAAAATAACCAATTTAAATAGCTCTAACTTTTTTTTTTGATAATTCGAATTCAAAATAATTAAATCGAACCAAATGCAAAAACAACGGTAATTATGAATA